AGCAGGAGACTGCCCCCACAGCGACCTGGGTATCCAGGCTCCTTCCATTTTGTGGCTCTGCCATTTTCTAGGCCTTCAGAATCTGCCGGTGGGTTCTTTGCATCTGGCCAGCAGATGGAGGAAGGGAGAGAGTCAGCTTCTGCAGGGGGGTTTATGGATCTGGCTTGGATGCGGGGACTGTCAGGTCTGTTCACATCTCATTGGCTGCAACGTGGTCATGTGGGTACATCTAACTGCAAAGGGGCCTGGGAAATGTAGTTTAGCGCTGGGTAAAGGAACGGAGGTTTGTGAGCACACAGAAGTCTCTGCCATGCTACACTAACTCCAATCAAAACACCAATCACTATATAGGGAGGTCCTGGTGAAAGCCAAATCAGATTAGGTTCAAACCCTCCTAACCCACTGGAAGGAAAAGCTAAAGCCCTTTTGGACTCTGGGTCCTGCTCTGCCCTCACCTCCTGCCCTCCCACTCTCACTCACTCCACTCCGGGCATGCTAGGTCCACTCCTCCCTTAGGGCCTTGGCCCCCGAGTCCTTGCTGCCTGGAGTGTTTCCCCAGAGAGCCCCACGACTCACTCTCTCCACTTATTTAGGCTTTTGCTCAATTGTCTTCCAAATAGGCCTTCTAAAACACCAGTTGCTGTCACTTTTGACCCTTACCTATATTCCATAGTACACATCACATTTTCTAAAAAATTACTTTATTTATTAGTATTATTATTGTTTCAGTTTGACCAGAGAAAGACAGAGAGAGACAGAGAGGAAGTGAGAAAGCAAGCCGCCAAGTCTGAGACTTGAACCATGGTCAGCCATGTGGGAGTCCAGCATCTTTAACCACCACACCACCTTCCAGCCCCGAGTACACATCACATTATCCACGCGCCGATTAGACCGTGAACTCCGCGAGGTCAGGGCTTTGTCTTGGAGCCCTGGGAGCGCACGTTGTAGGCCTTCCCATAGATGTCCACTGAGTTTCGAGTTTAGTCTGGGGTGGGTATACAGCGAAGCCATTCTGCCTGGGAAGTCAGCGAGGGCTCCCTGAGACGATGACAGGTGAGCTGGGCTTTGCGAGTCACACAGGAGTCTGCCCGGTGTAGAATGGATGTCCCAGGCACTGAGGCGGGCAGAGCATCACGTTTTCAGGAAAACAAACACTAGAAGATGGCGGAGTTGGCGAGGCTGCAGCTAGGTGAGCGGGTGCTGGCTCCAGGGGTGCTGCCTTTGGCAAGCCAAGGGGCCCAGGCTTTCTCCTGAGGGAAATAGGTTGAGGTAGAGAGGTCCCATCTGATTGTGATCCCAGGCTTCCAGGAAGAAGCAGATTTGCATGGACGGGCCTTGAAAGGTGGAGGGAGCACTGGTGTCGGGGAGGAAATGAGGGGGGTTGTCAGGGTACGGAAGTCATGACAAGTTACGAGAGTGGGGACAGGTGGGGAGTCCTGGGTGTGGGCCATGTGGGTCCCATCCGTCCGTCCTCCCATTCCTCCATCCATTGTACAGCGGGCCAGGTCGAGGGCTGTGGGCTTTGTCCTGCGGGTGCCGAGTAGCCAGGGGGGAACTGTGAGTAGGGGAGAGCAGTCTGGAGTGGAGAGGAGAGGTTGGAGGCAGCGGGAGCAGGGGAGGGATGGGGTGAGGGGAGGAGACCTGAGCTGGGGCTGGGGCAGTGGGGACAGGAAGAGTTGGGCCCTGAGGGGTTGCGGGAGGGCAGGGGCAGAGGGGATGAGGACAGCCCCTGGGGTGAGACTCCTGGGCACTGTGCAGTAGCTAGCGGGAGTCGTGGGAGCGGATGTGTGGCATCGGCTTGGGCAGTGGCGGGCAGGGGTCCAGCTCACTTCCCACTACTCACCCTCGGCCGACCCTGCTCAGTACCAGAGGCACCTGTTCGTGCACATCAGCCAGCACTGCCCCAGCCCTGGAGCACCTCCCCTCGAGAGTGTGGACGTCCGGCAGATCTACGACAAATTTCCGGAGAAAAAGGGTGGTCTGCGGGAGCTGTATGATCGCGGGCCTCCGCATGCCTTCTTCCTGGTCAAGTTCTGGGTGAGTTCCAGCTACACACCAAGCGTGTCCGTAAACCACATGGCAGGCGGCTCAGGTGTCTGGCTCTCAGGACCTACGAGGCCAGCCGAGGCCACTTATGTCAGAGTGTCAGTCCCTGTGCAGCAGGAAACACCACGGAGGTCTGCCCCATGGTGCAGTGCGTAGGTGCGGCGAAGAGGAAGCCCCGTCCCACGTGAATCCGATCCTCAGTCAGGACTCAAGTCCTGGCGCCATGGTCTTGAAAATTCCACTGGGCATGCGTGGGTGTGCACAGGATCCTGACAGGTGGGAGGAAAAAGGATTGCAGCCTGACCAGGGCCTGTTGGGGGTGCTTCCTCTGTCTCCTTTTCTCTCTCGCATGTGCACACATGCGCCTCTCGCCTCTGGCGATGCTGAAGAAAGGCAAAAAGAAAGACCAAGGCCATCGGCTCCAGTCTAGGATGGGAGCTCGGGTTGTCCCCAGATCTGCCTGGTGCGGCTCATTGCCGATTACTGATGTGACTGTGGGACGGGCCTGCCATGTTTCCGGCTCCTCCCATTGCAGCCACACCAAGCCTTGTAGCTAATGGAGTGTGGAGGGTTCTGATCCCTCAGGGGGCTGAGGCTTGGCTATAGAATGTCTGAATTAAGGACCTGGTGGTTTTCATTATTTATGAAATAATCATTTCTTTTGGTGATTACCATAGGGCATGCATGCTTGCCAGAGAGAGAGAGAGAGACACGGGGTTGGGTAGAAAACACCCCTGTGGGGTTTGGTCACACCACAATCCCTTCTCCACCATTCTTCCATCCTGTCAGGATTTGGGGCACGCATGCACGTGTCCTGTGTGCTTTTTAAGCCACTGGGACCAAGATTCAAATTGTGTGGTCAGCCATGTGGGCTGTGGTTCCCTTGACCACTAGCCTATGCGGCTGACCCTCACAGTAATTTCTTGAGCACTCACCATGTCTAGGCCCCACCAGGTGCTGCGGATGTTACTGCGATGGAGAGGGGCTGTCCCGAGGCTTCTTTTTTTGAGAGTTTTTTTTTTTTTCTTCACTATAGGGCACTTACGCTCGCCAGACAGACAGAGAGAGACATAGAGACAGAAAGCGAGAAATCACCCCCCAGGGGGGGATGGTCACGCCGCAATCCCTTCTCCTCCATTCTCCTCCCGGGATCTTGGGCACGCACGCACACGCGCTCGGCGTGAGTTTTAAGCCACCGGGTCCGGGACGCGAACCGCGGTTGACTACGTGGGGGTCCAGCGACATAGCCATTACGCTAACTGCTGGTTCCCCCGAGGCTTCTTTAGGTCTGCCTGGGTTGGTGTCCAGTACAGTAAATGATGCTGTGGGCACTCAGTAAGTGTCGTGTGGGTGTTTAGGGGGTGTTCCTCCTGCAGTAAACTGGGAGAGTGGAGGGATCTCATCTTTTTTTCTTTTTTTTTTAGAAAATTTTATTTTTTGGGAGGACCAGCGGTTAGCGTAATGGCTATGTCGCTGGATTCCCACGTAGTCGACCGCGGTTCGCATCCGGACCTGGTGGCTTAAAACTCACGCCGGGTGTGTGTGCGTGCCTGCCCAAGATCCTGAGAGGAGAATGGAGGAGAAGGGATTGCAGCGTAACCATTCCCCCTGGGGGGTGATTTCTCGCTTTCTGTCTCTGTCTCTGTCTGTCTGTCTGGTGAGCGCATGCGCCCTATAGCAAAAACCTCCCCCCCAAAAAAATATTTTTATTTTTAACTTTATTTATTTATTTATTTATTTTAATTTGACCAGAGAGGAACAGAGTCAGAGAGAGAGAGGGAATGTAAGAAAGCAAGCCATCCCAGGTCCAAAACTCGAACCTCATTCGGCCAAGTGAGAGTCCAGCACCCTTAACCACCAAGCCACTTGCTGGCCCTGAGGGATCTCATCTCTGAGAAGAAAGTCTGCCGAGGGCTTGACTTGTACTGGTCTTATTTATTTATTTGTTAATAGTTTCTTTCTTTCTTTCTTTCTTTCTTTTTTTTTGTTTGGAGAGTTTTTTGCTATAGAGTGCCTGCGCTCGCTAGACAGACAGAGAGAGACAGAAAGAGAGAAATCACCCCCTGGGGGGATGGCTACACCGCAATCCCTTCTCCTCCATTCTCCTCTCAGGATCTTGGGCATGCACACACACGCACTTGGCGTGAGTTTAAGCCACCGGGTCTGGGACTCGAACTGCGGTTAACTACGTGGGAGTCCAGCAACATAGCCATTACGCTAACTGCTGGTCCCAATAGTTGATTTATTTCTTCAGAGAAAGAGAGAGAGAGTGCACACTCCCAACTTCATGCCATGATCCAACCCCGCCTTAGCCAACCCTGGATCCTGGGCTGGTGTGTGTCTCACATACCCAGAGAGGTCTTCAGACAGGGCCTGGGACCTTCCCATGCCGGCCAGCCTGGCAGAACATTGCGTTCTGCAGTGTTCCCTACAGGTCTTGCTGGGTGTGCACCTACTGTGATTACTAAGCTTTTGGGTGTGAGTGGAGACCGAGTAGGCTCTGGGGATGAGCTGCTGTGGTCTTGGGCATTGTTAGGGTTTAAGACAGACCTCTCCAGGCCCCAGGTCTGGAGAGATACCTTCTTAGGAAGCCCAGCTTCTGCAAAGTTTCAGGGGAGTGGCTGGCTGCTAAGAACTTTGGTTCTGCCTGACTTCTCAAGGCCCTGTTGCTAGGGCGAAGGATGAGGTCAGGCCTCTGAGGAGTGTGACCCCGCAAGGTGTTGGCAACTGAAGTTAGGAAGAGGAAGAGGCGAACCTTTCAAGGGCGAGACCTAGACACGAGGTGCGATGAGGCCTGAGGCTTCATGGAACCCCACCTGGCCAAGGGTCTCCACACCTGGCTGCTGGGGCCGTGGAGGTCTGATCTCTAAAAGGGGCCAGGAGAGCGCTCTGGAGAGGAGCTGGCATCCTTGTGTCTGCCAGGCGCCATTGCTAGGGAGTAGCCATCCACCTTAGCAACCAGGAGGTGAAGGGCTTTGAGGGAGGGGCTCTGGCTTCAGCTGGTTGCTGAGAAGTAACTGCCTCCTTAGGAAGCAGAGCCTTAGGGGGGCTGAATGCATGAGTTGGGGCTTCCAGAGAACAAAGTTGAGTCCAGGTTCCCTTGGCTTTTGGAGAGAGGTCAAGACCATGTTGGGACCCAGATTTCTTCCATAGCAACACAAGGGTGGATCTTCTCCAGAAGCTGGCCTTGGAGAGATGAGGACGTTGACAGCTAAGAAAAGAGGTGGACCGTTGCCAGGGCCACGGGAGAGCTGTGCTCTGGGGTTGCGTCCTCACTGTTTATAAGGGGTATCCTCTCCAACTCACTGGTACCTCCCCATCTCCCAGGCGGACCTGAACTGGGGCCCAAGTGGCGAGGAGGCCGGAGCTGGTGGCGGCAGCAGCGGCGGCAGCTTCTACG